AATAGATTTGGTGAAATTGTTCAATAGGTGGGATGTACTGAGTATCAAGTTCACGAGACTGAGTCTTTTCCCGGATGAAATGATAGTCGATCTCCATGATTTTAATACGTGAATGAAATACCGGATTATGAGCAAAACCTAAGGCTGAGGTATTATCACAATGGATAATAGTTGGTTGGGAAATGGAAATTCAAAGATTCTGGAGAAGCAGTCGAAGCTATCGAAGCTAAATTACATTGGTTATTGTGGTAGAGAGGGCACGCTATTCAACTTCCATAAAGGAGTGGGCCCCGACGGGTTGTTTCTTGACTTGCAAGAATTTGACGCTGGGGCCGAGGAAGGACCAGTGGCTGGTGATTGAGCGGCGGACGTATAGATAACTATCCCGACTAGACTCAGAGTAATTGCGAAGTATGAGAGGACCTGGGAGGAGAAGGAGGCCAAAATTAAGAGTTCCTTTAATGTACCACAAAAGTATTTTTAGTTGATAAAAGTTGTAGCCGTTGGGGTTTAGAAAGTTTTGCGTTAAAGTGTTCACCGCAAAGTTGATATCAAGCCATGGTATTGAAGCGAGCCAACTAGTTGACGATATAGAAATGTTGGCGGGGCTGGTGAAGTTTGAGAGAGGTGGGGGGCGCTGGAGAGAAGGGATTTGGTGCAGCTTGACAGTCTGCCACAACTGCAATTTAAAGTATTTTTTAAGCATAGTGAGCTTGAGTGAGGAAGAAACCTAGTTTGGTGTGTTTAATATCTATGCCAAGGAACGTGGAGACATTACCCAGGGTTTTCATATGAAAGTGTTGCTTCAGTCCTATCATAAGACGACTGATTTTGGTGGAGTTGTTGTTAGTAATTAAGATGATGTCAACATATAGTAGTAAGTAGATCGAGATGCGATCATGGTAGAAGATAAATAATGAAGGTCTACTTTGCACCGACGAAATGCCAATCGGAGCAAGTGGGTGGTGAAAGTGTTGAACCATTGATATGGACCTTGTTTAAGGCCATAGATGGCCTTCTTGAGCCGACATACATGGTGAGAAAGTTGTGGGTCTGAGTAACCGGGGGGTTGACACATGTCGATGGTTTCGTGAAGTTCTTTGTGTAGGAAAGCATTCACAACATCCACTTGCAGAATGAGGCAATTGTGATGGAGGAAAATAATGAGTAGTAGGTGAATTGTTGGAAGTTTGGCTATCGGATTGAAGGTCTCAGTATCGTAAATGCCTTATTTTTGTTGGTAGCTTGATGCAACAAGTCATGCTTTGTAACGTGTGATGGTATTAGTGGCATTCATTTAATTTTGCAGGTCCACTTACTGCCAAGGATATTTTGATTGGGTGATGGGGGGACTAGGACCCATGTATTTTGGTTATGAAGAGTTGTGATTTCCTCTTGCCTGTCACTTCACCAATGATTATGTTGGAATGCCTCTTTGAATGTGATGGGTTCGGTGGTGGGAAGGATGAGATGAGATAGGTTGAAGATATGTTTGGGTTTCAAGGAGCCTGTTTTGGTTCTTGTGATCATGGATGTGGTGTGGAGAGGGAGTTTTAGTTGGGGATGAGTTTAGAGGAGTTTCAATTGATTTTGGAGGCTTGGTTGGCAAGGGATGTGGGTAAGTTTTGTTTGATGTTGTTGAGGTGTGGGTAGTGGTATTGGTGAGAGGAGTGAATTGGAAGAATGGGGTTATAGTTCTGTTTGTTTTAAGAGATGGGTAAGAAGTAGTTGGAGGAATGCTAGTGGGGAGTGATGACAACAGTTGGGGAAGGGACAAAGATGGTGGGTATACGGTGGGGAGAGGAAGTTATTTGAATGGAAAAATAGATTCATTGAATCAGAAATGGTGTGAGATAATTATTGAACCACTCTCGCAGTGAAGACATTTGTAGCCTTTGATATGGTCAAGGTAACCAATGAAGATGCATGGAGTGGCTTTGGGGTCTACCTTGCTGCGACGTTCTTGTGGGATCCAAGGAAAGAATGCACATTCGAAGGTGTGAAGGCGTGTGTAATCTGGTGGTGGATGATTGAATAGTAATTGGCAAGGTGATTTGTTGGAGGTAGTAGGAGAGGGCATGTGATTTATTAGATAAGTGGTGGTGAGGATAGTATCGAGCCAATGGGTTTGTGGAAGATTGGAGTCGACGATTAATTATTGGGTGGTTTCAAGAATGTGACCATGTTTGTATTCGACAAGCCCATTCTGTTTGGGTGTATTTGGGCATGAAAGCTGATGGGTCAAGCCAATTGAGATTAATAGTTGAAGAACTTGAGAGTTGTTAAATTTGCCTTCGTTGCCGGAGAGGAGAAATTTTATTTTAGCATCAAAGTGTTGTTCCAAATGCTGTTTTAAATTAATAAAACAGGAAAGAGTATTCAGTTTGTAAATTAGGGGATACAAGAATGTATATCCAGTAACATAATCAATAAAAAAAACCTAGGATTTATATCCTTAAATAAATGTGGTTGAGGAAGGTCCCTATACATTAGAGTGAATTAACTCAAAAGGATGATGATAATGATTACTAGAAGAAGGAAAACATAGTTGGTGATGCTTATCTAAAATGTAGCAAATTACACATAGTATTTTTCTTGGGTATACATAAAATAGGATTTATTTTCGATATAAGTGAGAGTGTGTTATTGTTGATGTGACCGAGCCTTTGATGCCATACTTCAATTTTCGTGGATATTAAAATCATTGCTTGGTTGGGAGGAGATAGGGGATCATATAAAGGCCATTGCGGCAAAGTCCATGTAGGAGAGTTTGTTGGAAAGTTTGGTCCTTGATTTTGTAGCCAGATGAGTAAAAAAGAATAACACAATTACTGTCAAAGGCTAATTTATAGATAGAGATAAGATTGTGTGAAATTTGTGGAATATGTAAGAGATTTGAGAGAAATAGCTTACAAGTGGGTGTGGGAAATAAACCTTGGTTGTGGCTTTGAATGTGTACGGGAGTTGCCATTGCCAATGGAAACTTGGTCCTGCCCATAATATGAGGTGGGATTTTAAGGATGTTATAGTCAGTCGTTAGATGATTTGGTGCGCCTGAGTCCAAGTACAATGCTTGGTTGGTGGACAGGGCTGTAAGGAGCGTTGTAGGAGTTGGAAGTTTGGGTTGATAGCTGAGATTGAGTCTACGTCAGCACTGTGAGGCGGTGTAAACCCTTCTTAAAGCATAATTGACATGTTTCATTGCTTCCTATTTTGGACTATTTTAGTGTTGGATCAGCAGCCCACCGGAGGTATTGTCAACCTCATCCTCTAGAGGTAGTGCGATCACGACCGCATTGATAATAGAGATCAGAGTGGATGTCTGGTGGCTGCAAAGGTGTTGACTTATCATTAGAAAGGTTAATTTCTTTGTTGTGAAGCAAGGAGTATATACCCTCCAAACTTAGAGGAATAAGTGTGGTTCTGATAGCCGTCTTAAATGCTTGAGGGCGTACAAGATGATGTCTTTGGCATTAATGGATGATCTGAAGGCAGGGATGTTGTTGACCAACATTTTGATTTAAGTGACGCATTGGGACTTTGTTTGATTCCTCATCAAAACATTATGTAGCTTGATTTTAAGCTTAATTACTCTAGAATGATTAGTGTCTTGTGAACCTTTTTCCAAGTGAAGCTATATCTCATGACAACTGTTTAGGTTGATCACATAAGGAGGAATGGAGCTGGAGATGGTTGAAAGAAGGACAATCAATCAATGTCCACGTTTTGAGAGTAAGATTATTTGTATCAGTACTTGTAGCAGCGAGGGAGGGGTTTTCGTGGATGAGGTCAACGAATCCGTTTGTTGTAATGATCTTCATCATTTGCGATTTCCATAGGTTGTAATTGTTTGCAGAGAGGGAGATAGTTTACCACTGATTTTGTATTGGATATGATGAACTTTAGAGAGGGAGGTATGATATATTCCTTCGGTTTAATGAGTTGAGGGCCTCGTTGAGATCAGAAGTGGCTGAGTCATCCATGAGAGCCGTGAGCTAGCGAGCTCTGATACCATGAAATAAACCTAAAAAAATTAGTGGCTCAAACAGGAAGTAAAGCAAGAAAAAAAAGGACAAGAGCTACAAATGGTAAGACAAGGAAGAAGAGAGGACAGGCCAAGAACTTTCCTAGCTCTTAGCTTGTGTAAAGTAATTATAACATATACAGGTGAAGCTGTGGTTTCTAGAGACAAACGATTACAAGGGTAGAATAGTAAAATATAAATGCATAAAGATGATGAAGAGGTTTGCTGCTGTCAAAAGGTGGAGTAATGCCCTTGCCATGCTTCGCTAGGGTTAGTAATGAATGTCTTTGCAATGAGCTCCATCAACAAACTCTTGTTCTCCTCACATGAAAACAATTTTGTTGCCTTCCCTAGTGAGCTTTTTGACACATTTCTCAATAAATTTTAATGTGCTAGGTCACAAATACTTTGATCATTACCTTAAAAAGCAAGCTTAGTCACACGTGTACTATGATTGTCATCACCTTGACTCATCCTAAAGGTTCCACACCATAACTCCCATAATGCTTAGTCCAATGCTTTCATTGTACTTGATCCCATCATTGCTTTCACTAGCGAGGTAATAATATCGAGCAAACTTTCAATTTTATTGGGTTCAAATCATTCAAACCCTTTTAAAAAAATAAAGCTTGATTCACATGCAAATTAGATTTTAATCATCATTTGAATTTGAATTTGAATTTGAATCAAATTGAACTAAATTTTCTCCTTGCTAAGCTCAATAAATAGTTTGAGAATAAATGACATAAATTTATTTAAAATAAGCTTTCACATATATTATAATTTTATAAAAATGACTATCTATAATTATATTTTTAATCTGACTGAATTTAAACACAAACAGCACAAAATAAATATAGACTTTTCTTGTCCTAAGAGGCTTATCAAGTAAAATTTCTTATGGAAAATGTTGCTCTTATTTCTGTTTAATATCACTCCAACTATAGTTCTCTGTCCACCCCACTCCCGTCAAGTCACATGGTATTGCGCGTTGTGATTATGGAAATGGGGGTGTGAGATTAGTATTTTCTTACCAAATAGCTGAAGACGAAAGCCGCCCTTATTCTCGAGCCGGGCTCCGGCGAGGCGAGTGGCGCTGAAAGCGTTTGCAATCGAGGTATCGTACTCTTTCTACTGGAAATGTTCATTCATCTCCCACTTCCCATATATCTCCATTTTTGCATCATCTTGGGCTCACATTCTCTTTCTTCAGTGCGCGCACTTGTTGATTTTGGCTCCTTTCATTTTCATTGGCTTGGCTTTCTTCAAATTTTCCTCACCGAAGAAGATATGAGGTGTTTCTACTTGATGAAACTGGGGTTTTAGCTTTCGTTGGCTAGGGTTTCTGTGTGTTGGTTTTCAGTGGCTTCCTGTTCGACTCGTGAGTTCTGGCTTTTAGGTTTAGGCAGAGCACTGAGATGTGTGTGCTAACAAAGTTGTTGTTAAATTGTTTATTACTTTGTTCCATACATGAGTAGTTTCACAGTTAACCTATGATGGAACTAACTAGAGCAGTGGGACCTCATTACCTTTTTTCTGGAGAATTTTAACAAATTTGAGATGTTTTAAATGAATTGCAGAGCTTATTGCAGTAATTTTTACGAATGTGTATGCAGGAGTCTGGTGTCTACTGCACAAGCATTGTCTTAATTGCGCTGATAGATTCTATGAAATGCTCTGATTTAATTGAAGTTTCACGGGAAGTACTGCACGCACTAGATGGCGGACTATTGTGTTCTACCATCCTGTGCTAAGTTGCAACTGCGGAGGATTATGCCAAGAGGAAATCTTCCCATGACTAGCAATTTTAGTGCGAGGAATCGACAGAGGTGCGAAAAACCTTCTTTTTATGCTCTATGATAACTATCATAAATGTTTAAGATCATTCCATTGTGCTCCTTAAATTGATTGTTAGTTCGAGATTTTTAAGTATTTGTTACCTCTATCTACAGTTATGTTATATAAGTAATTTTCATTCTGTGAATCAGATTATATTTCCTTCTTTCTTTTGCTTGTAGGGAGTGCCTTATCTTTGTTAAGAGTCTTCATACATCATGTTTTTCATTTTCAAGATTTAGGGTTGTGCAAGCTCCCTTTCTTATTTGTGCAAATGAAAGCCGTGGCTTGAATGAGAATTTCTCAAAGTGTTATTGCTGGGGAATGCTTTTTGACCCCGAGAATGCAGCACCGTCAAATTTGGCTTCTGCCATGGATGAATTGCTTCTGATGGTTAGTGTTATTTTGGCATACATGGCTGGCGCAGTACCACAGAGGAAGAAACTTGACTTTATGAGTCACCACACAAAAGATAACCCGGGTTCTTCATCCCCCACAACTCATGGTAGGTAAGGGAAAGCTGCCACAATTTAAGCCTGCAACCTATGTGCTGAATTGATTCCATTCCTTGAGAACTACACACATTATCTAGTCATTTGTGTTGACAGGAAATTTATTTTGCAGGTCTGAAAGAAGTGAGAGCTTGACTAGTTTGAAGACAAATGCTATATGGCATGAAGTGAACGGGAAACTTCTTGATGCTTTGGAAGCTACTGGTAATGGTGCTAATTTGGATGATTTGGCTGCTGGTATTACAGATTTTAGTCGCAAAGATGCTTTAAGTCTCTTTGCCCTCAATCATGGTTCCACGTGGAGATTGCTTTGGTCTACTTTAATGAGGCTGCAAAAAGAGGCAGGCATTGCCCTTCACACTTTTCTTATATGAATCATAAGGCAGGCTGATTGCCGGTCATAGTGTTATGTTAGCATACTATTATAAATGTTCATCATTCTTCTCTCTCTCTCTCTTTCTCTCTAACATACTTTCTATGGAGTATGATGAAATAAAATATATGTTTTGAAATGTTTAGATTGAAATCTTCACAGTTCCTTTCAATTGAACTAATCTCTGTAGCATACTTAGCGGAAGTTATATTTAGTTTATTATGTGAAATAGAGGGTCACAAACTAAGAAGAACTAGGACACATAAAGTAAAGAAAGACTGATGATGATATCAAAGTAGAGTATGGGGACTTAACCAATGAGAATATGTGATGATGGTATTGAAGATAACTTGCATGAGTAGAATTTTTCCATGAATGATTTCTCTTTGGAAGTTTGCTCTAGGGGAACACACACTCAAGTAAACCTCACTTGAAGGTGAAAGAGCACGAGAGACTTTTAGCGCCTAGCTAAATGCTTCATTCATTCAATTACCATTGCATAAGTTGTCATGTGTGGTAGGGAGGATCCCTAGAGGGTGTGACTATATAATTATGGTTGGGGATTTGCAGCGCTACATTTTGGATTTGAGCTATCATTTAAAGCTCTTTTAATCTATGGCTATTTCTGTGTTGAAAGTGGCGGCCTATGACATTAATGAAGAGAGAGAGAGAGAGAGAGAGAGAGAGTTGATTGGGTTGGTTTAGCTCATGTGATACATATAAATTTCAAACCATGCATGAAGTTATACAAACACCACTTAAAATAAGTTCATGGTAAAGGCTTTTGAAATAATATAGAATTTATTGTTCATGGTAACGACGATGACAATAATACTCTACATTTGTTTTTTTCTGTCGGTTTTGATGTATTTAGCTTCATTGATTGAAGCTTTTGAACTCTTGAAGATGATTGAAAGAATGCTACCGAAGCTCCTTAAGTGTCAACCACAAATTTTCTATTGTTGAGAAACCCTTCTAATGAACAAGTTACTATTGGATGCCACCATCTAAATTAGAAATATTTTTTTCTTGTAAGATTTGATTAGGGTGATGAGATCTAGAATGGCAAGTTGGCAGGTGTACTAGTGTATAAGATGTGTCCATAGAATCTTGATGCATGCTGATAGGCAAACTACAAACAGAAACATCAATGATATTATTGGTAGCATTTTCACGGTACAAGGTCAAGTTTGACACATTGGCATATATCGACTTTTTCATTAGCACAGTATCTCCCTTATTAAATATTTGATTTGATTCAATAGTAATTTTGTTTTTTTCACAACTATTTAGTCTGCTTTTTATTGATTTTTTATTAAAGTTTATCCATGCTTTTTGCAAATGATGAGGCATATTATTGGCACCGCACGCTATAGAAAGTGTGGTCAGTTCTATGTAGGCTTGTTGATTTATTGATATATTTATTATAAGAAATTTTGGTTATAAATAACATAATATCACAATTAGCAGTGTTGTCATTGTTCAAAAGTTTGAGAAGATTACTTAATCTTCTATTTAAGAACTCGGTTTGATATGGCTTGCCAATGGGTAGGTTTGGATTGGATTAACCGCAACGTATATTTTATCAAATAAGTTTTTGATTGGATTAAGATTCAGATCAGGTTAGGGTTGATCTAAGATCTGATTCATAACCCATGTCGAGTGGAATTATATGGGAGGGAGAAAGTTGATATCCTATTGGAGTCTAATGATCTTGGTGGCAATGATCTTTTTGTGGTTAACATAATATCCATGACATTCAAATTCAATGACATTTATGCAAATGAAATTAAGTACAACATAACTTGGATTGAAAATGAACTGAGTTGAGAAAAGCACTGTGTTGTTTATGTCTATTCATTTGTTTTTCTATAGAGTTCAAGTTGAGCTTGAACATGACCTAGTTTTAAAATTTTGTACAAGTTTTTTTTAGTTTTTCTTATTGGGTTCAAGCCATCATCAACTAATATTCAAGTCTAATTAATGACATTTTTTATTGCTAATGATTTTACCTAATTACCAAATATAATTGGGTGTATAGGTATTAATTGAAATTGACATGGTTCATTAATTATTATTTAAGTTGTTTGGTGAAGTTTAAATATTAATGATAAAATATTGAAATTTACATATCTAGCTATATATTTGATATTTTCATCACACCTATACCCTTAACAATATATATAATTTTTAAAGTATATTATAGATAAAGGTTAATAAGTACATTAAGTAAGTCGTAAAAAAGCAATAAATTTATTATTAAATGAGCTTTTATAAAGTTCTTTGTGAGCTATGTGTTAAAAAAAAAAAAAAGCACATTCACAAACATGTATTAACTAACAAGTTTTTTTTAAAGTTTTGTCTAAACTTATTTGATTTAAGCGGAAAAGGAGTTTTCTACGCTCATGCAATTATGTCAATAAATGCACATTGGCAAACTGCTTTGATTGTGTAATGTTGATGATTTATTTATTATTATTATTATTTTTGCTATCATATGTAAATAACCTATATATGCTTTTACAGGTTAGTGATATTCATTCATCTCGTGAAGCTTTTAATGGAGGTGCCTGGCTAGCGGGGGTATCAGAAATCTTTAAAGAAATAGTTATACAAATATTATTCAAATGGTTGGAACAGGAACTTTCTTTGGGTGCTGCTGGCTACAATATGGTACTTCAATGTCTAAAGTTTTAATTTAATGTTGGAAAATTTACATACATACTACTTATACTTATGTACCGACATATCTAACACCTAAACTTCAATTTTTACAGACATGACATCTTACATATGCACAAAAAGGTGTATTTCCTTTTTTAGAAGTTAAAATGGTGATATTTTTTATGTGATATGAAAGATTTGGGTGGTATAAATGTAACATGCAACATTTAGGTGTTAGATATGTAAATACATGAAAGTTGAGTGTTATCTATGTGAATGCCCCTTTAATGTTTTGTCTTGTCTTGTCTCTCGTCTTAAAACTAGAAATTCTCTCAGAATCCTGTTATCCAGCTGACTGAGAAACTGAAGGGAAATGATGTGATACTAAACAATATAAAGAGATCAGGGAAGACTGAAATATATGCAGATCTGATTTTCTTCCTCAAATTCGATTCTCTCAGGTGTCGATTTAATTCTTTGGAATCATTTATCGCAACCCTTTTTTTTCCCTATTTAATTCTACAGATTGTTTGAGTCATGGGCTACATCAATCGTAAAATTGTTTATATGTGAGACAATGTGTTTGATAACTTCCAGCTCATACGGTGCTAAAAGAGAAGCAGGATGTGATAATTCACCATTGATGCAGTTTTTACTCATCGGGTTTCTTTTAAAGCTAGACCTCCGCATTCAGAAGTGAATTGTGTTGATGAAGCAAGCATTAGGAAATCTTAACTGCCTATTAATAAATTATTTTTGGCAGAAGAGAGTGAGAGAATTGAAAAGATTACATCTTTATTAAATAATCATTCTAGTTAGAGCATATATGTGCTTCTATATTGGCAAGAGGAGAAAATAATGAAAATATAATAAATAAGTATACCCTCAATAGTGAGGAAATATAATAATGATTATGGAAAAATTAATCTGTTATGACGTATCCTAAAGTCAATTTAGTCTTTATTAACTCAAGGACAAATTAGTCATTTGACATTTATTATTTCTTAGTATAAATAGGGTTAATATGTTTAGGGTTAGGATTATGCATGATGCATGAGATTAGAGATTATTATTGTGAGTCTTAGGTTTAGGGTTTGAGAGAGATTTCCTACCTCTCGAATTGTAGAAATTGGGAGACATCACCTACCTCTCGAATTGTACGTGGTTTTTTTATACTTGTGTTGAATGTTTGATGTGCTTGCCATAAAATATGTGTTTATCCTAATTTCTGTGGGAAAATATGACTTGAATTCTATCACAATCTTCATCAATTTCGTGTACATTAATTTGGACTTTGCCTCTACCAAAATGTTCCATCTTTCGTATTCACTTTATGCATCCTTAATGATCTGTGGGATTATTATTGTTACCTCACAGATTTATGGATTGTTCTAATTGTAATTAATTATGTTATATTTTTTATTCCCTAAATGTTATATATTTTATACTAGAGGCTTCCCTACACTTGTATAAATTCAACAAAATTGCTGACCTGAATCATGCTACCAATTCTCTTCAATTCTTGTCATGATGGGTAAGACTCAAGCTTTTTTCGTTAGAATTTTTGTAAGCTATAAACTTTAGCACCTCATTGTTTAAAACTTGCTAGCCTTTGCAGATATCTTTTCTTTCCGCTTAATCTTCTATGTGCAACCTTCATCATTATATCTTTTGTTTTATCTTTTTTACTTTTTGTAACTAATCACTATCAAATTCTCCCTTCTCATGGATCATAGCGATGCTGATGTCCTCTTTACCTAAGTTTAATTTGAAACTCAAATTAATAGCCCAAATCCAACCAGAGAATTACAAAATGTCCATTGAATATATCTTTGAATGTAAAGAATTTCCTCGAGTGGTGACAATTCATTTATACATTCTTGAAGTGATGATGAAAATTGGGTCATTTATGTGACATCTAATTTCAACAAGATAAGTTTACTTTGATTATGAAATTTCATGGTTTCTAATGTAATTGATGCCTGCATGTTTGGTAAAGGAAATTTGGGATATGATAAGTTAAACATATTATAAAGACCGTAATGTACCCTAAATCTATGAAGTCAAAACTAAGATCTCAGCCACATAGCAATTAGAATGATCCATTATACAATGCTTAAATCTAATAAAATACTTTTGGTAAGAAGGGACTATTATTGATGCATCCAAATGGATCACAATTATTGATGCATCCAAATGCAATTATTGATGCATCCAAATGACAATTATTGATGCATCCAAATGGATCGCAATTATTGATGCATCCAAATGGATCGCAACAAAGATACAACCCTCCTTAAAATACCTGTTGAAAAAGATCAATATTATGATTTTTTGCTAGATTAAATGTTGAATTTGATGCTATAATGGTACATATTCTCAAAAAGAATAATTATCTTCTCAAAATGAAGCTATTGTCATCATTTGAGTGAAGGAATGGAGAAGAGGAGTTATGATTGCCAATAACCCCATGGGTGCTTTGGCGCTGAATACAAAGGCTGTCGAAATTAAACACTCTAATTCAAAACTCATATTTTTTAGGAGACAAAACTATCATACTGAACAATCATTGTCAATAGAGATTTCTTATGATGAATATTTTATAAAATTGCTTGAAATTTAGAGAATGATGTTGTAAGCTATATGGCCAACCGCCGTTTGAAAGCATGTAACACATATGTAAGAGGGTAACACTAAAGAATCATACACTGAGTTCCACAAAGGAAATAATAAAATAAATTGAAAAACCTACTGATATCATTATAAAAGACTTCTATGGTTAGTATTGGCTTTTTTGAATTTTCTGGCATTACATTTCTTCTCATGTATTTAATCTTGGTTTTAGGAGCATATCAGATTGAATCTTTGTATGAATGTATTTCAAATACTCCTTTTTCTAGTTAAAAAAAAATATTGTTGATGGATCTTTGATAATTGTTGTTGGCCAATGAGATATTCTTATAGTTAAATTCCCCACACTTCAAATTTCTTCATGCATCTAAACTTTTCACCATTTTATCATCTATCCATAAGTTAATTATATATTCAAAATGTAATGTTATATTTCATCCTTCACATTATGTACTTTTTAAGAATAGGGCACAAGAATGATGATTGGACTTGATAAAGAAAGAGACAATATCTGCTATTTGAAAAATCTAATGATTAAAGGGGGCTCCAAATTGCTTGTATTACTCTTCCTTTCTTTTAAATCCAATAGAAGATATGGCTCCAACGCCTACATTTTGGCAATATTTTACTATTATTAAAAATATTAATATTGAAGAATTTCATTATGATAATTGCGAGTTATTATACAAGTGTATCAATTTTCTAATAAGAAAACAAACCTAAATTTTTTTCTCATTTATAGTGACATCTAAGGATCATCTTCTGCATCTAATCTTTTTAGGGTTTGTTGGTTTTTGTTTTTTATAGATGAACACACTCGTTTTTTTAGATCTTTCTATTAAAAGTTCAAATTGTTCTAATAAGAAAACAAACTCTCATTTTTCAAAAAAAATATTTCAAATCTATGTTGGTGGTCCATAAATTGATTATTTTTAATGGGATTGGGTTCAGAAGTCCTATATAACTCATGGTTAAGTTCTTTGATTTCTTTAACATTTCAAATAACATTATTCCAATAATATTTGGAAGTGTTGACTTTGTAGACATCCTCAAAATAAAAAAAAAGATGGGTTCAAGAATAATTAAAAGTAATTTTATACTTTACTATTTTACTCAAAAAGGGTATAAATGCTATCATCCCTCCACGAGAAAGGTATTTCTATTGTTGGCTACTGATGCCACTTTTAATGAGGCAGATTCTTACTTTATTGTTATTTAACTCAAAACCTAAATATTATTCACAAATAAATTCTTTCTCACATAACCCATTCTTAGCTGTCACACCAACAAACAACTCTACTCTAAGTTTTTTGCTTAAATCACATTGTGCTTTTAGCCATTCTAGGTTTATTAAAGGCGGGAGACATCGCAATCCACTGAATTCTAATCAAGAAACTCATTTATTTTTGCGTTGAATCCACTGAGAAAAACATTGCGCCAACAAAGATATAATAATTTAACCATACATGGCACTTTTTTTATTATCAAGAAATCTTTTTTTATCATTATTAATCATAACTTGCTAATCTTCATTTTTTTTTATTGCTAAAATCATCACTGTGGTTTAAATTGATGTGAATTAGGATAATGCTGTAAATTAATAAATGAAAGCATTTTAAATGTACAAGTTATGATAATTGGTGACTTTACCGAAGTGTAAGAAACTAATAGGATGCGGAATACAAATTCGACTGTTCACTAAAAACTTATAAGAATATACTTTTATAAAACTAGACAAGCGGCTGATGTCTACAGTCAAACATATGAGATATATTATCTTGATATATTTATTTCAGTTATTAAAACTAATGTTGTTTGAGTTATTTTATCATTAGATACTAATAGGGTAGGGATATAACAATTTAAGTTTAATAATGCGGTCTAAATGACGATCTAGAGGAAAAGTATGAAAGGAGCTCTCACTAGAATTTGGCTCAATACCTAATGAAAGCTATGCAACTAAATAAGGCATTATATATATTGAAGCCATCCCTAAGGGCATGGCTTTGAAGGTTTGTTAAGATAATTAACATGGATATAAATGGAATGAATACAACCATATGCTATTTGTAAAATATATGGCTTTACATTATGTCTTTGTACCACTAGTTTATTTCACCAACATCATCATGACATGTAGTAATTTGGAAAACTTGTAGACTTAAAAAAAGGTTACTTTTATAGTATTAAATTAATGAATTAGTTAAATTAAAGTACTTCCTTAAAATTGGGGTTGCACTCTTTTAACATGAGATATTTAGATCATAATAGAAATGTATGAGATGCATGATTGGGATGTAAGCTTTTTGAGAGCCCCATATAATTTAATTTTGAACTTGTACATGCTTCAGAAGACAAATAGTAGAAAAAATTCTTCTATGAAAAACTTTTGGGTTGACTTGTTTACTTATCAGGCTTGATATTGCCTAGATTGTTGTTGTAGAAGTTGATTCTAGTAAAATCCAAAAGAATCACACCTTAGGAATGTGCGTTAAATTTTACAATATCTAAATGAAGTTTAGATAGAAGAATGTTGGTCAAATTGGGAGTATCTTATACTTGAAATTTATCCAGATAAAGGATTATGGTTGGTAGGAGGCCAACTTCAGGATATTGCATATTCTTTGGAGGCAAACTCATGACTTGGTGAATTAAAAGTTAAAATCTAGTGGCTAGCTTTAGCACAGGAGACAAATTTAGAGCTATTGCAACCGGAAACAGTAAGCTAATATGGCTGAATTATTTTGAAAGATTTAGAGAAAGAGTGTACAAGGCTTTATTGAGGCAACAAATTAGCTATTAATATTATACATATTCTATGGCAACATGATCGAGTAAAATATATTAAAATTGATAGGCATTTTATTAATAAAAATCTAAACAATGGTCTACTATCTACTCCATTTGTTGCCATAGAAGGGCAACATGCAGATATTCTCTTTAAAACATAATCTGAAATACTATTTAATAAATTGGCATGCATGTTTGAAATACATAACTAATTCACATTTGTAAATCTCTAAATTGATAAAAAAGAGCAAGAGAAAAATAAGAATTTGATAAAACATTCGATCCTTGCTCTCGTAAAAGGTTATCACATGTGGACTATTCATCAATAACCAAAGTCTTATATAGAATTTTAACCACACATTTTTGGAAGAGAAGGTGCAAGTATAAGAACATAAAATAACAAAATTTTTTATGATTGCTGAATTATTGCTTTGCAGCTGATATTGATCTTAAGGTATGGGATAGATACTTGGGTTGTACATGTAAGATCCATGAATTACCTGCAAATCTTATTTAAGCTGGACACGAAGTACATTTAAAGGAGTGTACTTGACCATTGGTGCTGTGACCTCGGGCACAGAATTGTTTTTGTTCGTACCATATGCAAATTTTGATAGTAAGCTACTATCAGAAGGTTCCTTATGTAATTATTGGTTGTAATGCATGATAAATCCTTGAAATGTTCCGTAGTAATGCAGAAGGCTACAAACTGGGAAATGATAATCACTCTATGAATACAAAAAACTGTACTGACTCAATGTATTATAATAACTGAATTGATTCAGGTTGAGCATATGTTTTTGACTTCAACTGTATACCTTTATTTCTGCATCTTAGGCTGTTTAAGACTTCCTTTTGTTGGTCCCAATTTTTTGATGAGAGAGGTTGAAGATTGATGTTAGGATGATAATAAAGCTTCCTTGTATGATGTAGGACATTTATTTCCACATGCTTTTTTCTGAATTTTCAGCTCTTTTTATGGCTATAAAGATTAATGAAAAAGATTTGTGATCTTTCCTTTTGATTTTTGTATATGCGTGTGATGCATTTTCTGCTATGGTTTTTTAACATTTCTATTATTAATTTTGTTACTAGTACTATAATTCAAGAATCTTAATTATAAATGCAATAATTAATTCTTTTATTGTTCTCATGCAAATCATTCTTTCAACAACCGTATCTTGTAATTCCTTAGAATCTATGCTTGCGCTGTAATTTGGCGTTGGCTTATTATTTATCAGCCTTCTGCTTCAGCAGGTCTGGATGCTGTTTTGACAAAAACTTTCTTGTTGAACATGGAGTTGAAGTTTTAGAGGATCTGGTGATAACATTGGCTGATGCAGTTGCTTCCATATACCTGGAGCTTATTTCTGTTGACAGTGACTTATCAATTGAAATAAATTCATTGGGCTCACGGATATGCCCCCTTTCTACCCGAGCACTTCAGAGATTACGCAACGAGGTAAACGCACCACTTCTAACTGTTTTCAGCATTATCATCCATGTAAATTACTAAATTTTTGTACTTCATTGTTTGGATAACCGATAATCTGTCAACCATAGGCTACCAATGGATAAGGTTCATTTCCTTAAGAATAAAGTGCCAAAATAGTCCCCTAATCGCTTACATGCGGCCATTTTATTCCCTAAGTCTATAAAAGTGCCCAATTAGTCCCCTGACTCTTTATATTGGGTCTGAAATTGTCCTCATGGAGGACTATTTGATCCACAATTTCAATAATATGGGGACTAATTTAGCACTTCGATAGATTCTGAGACTCTAAAGGCCTCATGTAAATAGTCAGAGGGCTCTTTTGACTACATATTTCTTTAATTTACTTGGTAAGAGGCAGATGACTTGGTTATGCAATATCTGTTGTGTTCTTTTTCATGTTCTAGAGCTACAAGTTCGGTTCAGTTAGAACCTTCTAGGAAAATCAAGTTTAACTTAGAGGCTATCATTTTGTTTTTAAGGTTTTTGTTTCTCAAGACCTATTAGAATTCTATATTAAATCGTATTGTGTTTGAATGAGCTAAAACTATACTATATCTGGTTAATACAAATGCATCACAGGTCAGCCTTGGACCGACGCCTCATTTTCCTTCTGTCCATGCCAAGCCTGAACTTTTATTTAGAAAATTTACATACATACGACACAATTCTTATGTAGTTACATATCTAACACCTAAAGTTTGATATTTACATTTATAACACTTTAATATTATAAATCTATGTACGAAAATGTTTTTTTCACTTCTAAAGGGTTAGTAATAGGGATATTTTTGATATAATATCAAAGATTTAAGTTTTATCTTTGTAAATACGAAAGTTTAGGAATTAGATATTGTAAATATATAAGAATTGTGCGGTATGTATGTAAATGCCCTTTTTTTTTTCTGATTTGCTGAGATTGGGCAGTTCTTTGTCTGAGGCTGTCACTGTCGGCATATTAATATTATTATTTTATGAGCTTTAACAGTTTAGTCAGCATGCAGTTTCTTAATTTCTCGCCTTCCAGAATGTGTTTTTTATACTGCTATGTAATTTTGTTTTTATATTCTTCTGATTTGTGATCAAATTATTAGGTTTTGTTGAAACAATGGCTACAACAGAACTTTGAATCAGTTGTCTCTTTGTATGAGGACCGCTTTGAGTTATTTGTCTTGAGCAGGCTAAAGATGGGCGAAGAACTCGAGAACCAAACTAAAACATCTATTTGGAAAAAACTTGCCTTTAGCAAGCGAGCAATATCGTCCGCATCGAATTGTGTTCAGATCAAAACAATTTCTTTGACTGTGAAACGTACCAAAGAGCTACAAGCTTTGACTGGATGGTAAAATTATCCACCTTTGCTAGAATTGAACTATATCTTGGAGTCATTCATATGATATATGCATTACTGACATATCAGTCTGGTTCATTATGACATGATAAAGATGCTTAAACTTGCAAATATAGGTCAAGATTGGAGTTTTGAGAAATCATGTTTATTATGAAAAAAGGTTGGGGCATTTACAAACATACCACCCACTTTTTATATATTTACATTTGTAACACCTAAACTTTACTTTTTAAATTTATGCCACCCAAATATTTCATATCACCTTAAAGATACAGCTATTTTAACTTTTAAAAAGTGAAAAATGGTATGTATGCAAGTCTTCTAGGTTCTCAATTAACATGCAAGTAGTCTTGGTTGCAGGAGATACTATTTCAGCTTGTTTTTGGAATTCTCTGATGTTGCGATGCCATTGGTGAAAGCTGTTTTTGAAAAGGCAAGGAGTGCAGTATCTTTCTTTCTTATGTGCATGATTGGTAGGTCTTTAGGACTTGTTTTCTCTGGGATAAGGCAGTCTTTGGGTTGGAAATAAAGTCTTTTTTTTTTATTCAAAATTTTTGCACAGCTTATTGTAGCGCATCAAATTTCTTTGTAGATTGGGAAAGTGATTCATAAATCGTCTCAAGTTCTTTTTTTAAACAAGGCTACTTGGTTATGAATTTTTGCAAGACAACTGCCAAATTCATTCTTGTAATTCTACAGGGGCAAATCTTTCAAAATCTAATGTAATTCTAACAATTGCTCTTTTGCTGATTGCCATTTGCCAATTCAATTTCTGGTTAATTTTCTACTTTGAAGTTTTAGTTGGTTCGACACAGTTTATGTAAATAATGTTTTATGACGTCTATTAAGTTCTTGAGTAGATAAAGGAGTATCATACCGTCCATACCTACATATAAAAAGTGTGTTTTGTGTGTTGTCTCCAATATTGCTTTTAGTGTAATCTTTTGCTTGAAATAAGGTCTACCAAGTCAAGAATTACTTGTGAACAATTTAATCAATGTGTATGTTACGACTAGGGGTGTAAACGAACCGAACACAAACGAACAAAGCTTGTGTTCGTGTTCGGTTCGTTTAAAATTTAGTTTGTTTGAAATAAGCTCGTGTTCGTTTCTTAACGTGAAGTCACTGTTAGTGTTCATCCCTAATATTAATATATAAAAATAATACTATATATTAATTATATAACTTATATTATATAAATATACAATATCTATATTAGTATATTACTACTATAGTATATTAATATATTATTATTATTATTTTATTATATATTATAATTTATAAAATTTAATGTTTTAAAATGTAATAATTTTTTTATATATAATTATTTTATATTATTTTATATTTCAAACAATAACTATTCGAACACGAACGAACACATCACTGTTCGAGTTTGGTTCGTTTAACTAACCGAACGAAAAAAATTTGTTCGCGTTTGTCTTGTTTACTTATCGAACGAATCAAACACGAACTCATTGACGAACTGAACACGAACTGTTCGCGAACAACGAGCTTTTTTGACAGTCCTAGTTACGACAAGTTTTTATATTATAGGGATGCTTAGTTCAGCATCAATGATAGATTTAAATACCAAAGATCATGAGCATAGTTGTGATTCTAGAGTTATCCTGGAAATTAATTGTTTAAAAATAGTTTTGATGAGTTGAAAATGAGTGTATAGACAGACGTATGAGCTTATCAAGCTCTCCTTCTCTTCATCTCTTGATCTGTCTTAATACTGTAACATCTAGATCTTTTTAAGACTGCAAAAATCATTAATGATGATTGATTATTAATGTTATGAGATGAATTCTCCTTGATATAAATTCATGTCATGTTTATATTTAAAGTATCCCATAAACAACTCTTCAAGCTTCTTGTGCTTGTAAGGATACTGGAGAAGTTCTAAGTAATTCTTTCTTCAAATTTAGAGGGTGTTTCTTCTCTCTAATGTAAGGGGACAAAATCTTAAATGTACTTGTATGTATGTTGGTTTTCCCCCTTGTGTGCGTTCCGTGGCCTATTGGTAGAGCAGCCTCTCTAAAGGTCATAAGCCCCCTCAAGCCACGGGTTCGAATCCTCTAGTGGCGCAGTGTCGCCTTAAGCCAGATGGTACTTGAATTATTTGCACATCGGTTTGCCCCCAAACGTAGCGGTGGTTGAGCCCATTGGGTGGGTTGGGGAACTCACGACCTAGCCTATTCTTTAAAAAATAAATAATAAAAAAAAGAAATGTTGGTTTTCCCCCCCTTTAAATTATGGAGCTTCTATTTGCCATAGTCTTGTTATCTACAAAAAAATTAAGAGCCTCTCCTTGTGATGGTATTGAATTTTGTTTTTCTTTTTTGTTCTTTTTTTATGACTTCATTGTAGCAATAAAAGCTTTGGGTTCCATTGGAGTAGATTATCATAGAAAGTAAACGTAGTCTTTGTAATTCTTTTGGAAGGGTGGGGACTTGTTGATTACTAAAATTCAATGTAAATTTGGATTGATCATACCTCAAATCATGGGTGCATTTATAGTGGTGGCATTGAGGACATACCTCATTGGCAAATCTTCTTCGACCTTGCCGGGCAATATCGCGAACTCGCATCTCAAATCCCTTACTATAGATCTCCAAATCTATGGCATCTCTTCATGCATATGCGCTTCGAAATCTTTTATAAACTCCTCATCTTTTACATGCTGATAATTCTATAAATGCTCCCTCTAGCAAGCTACTATCAGTGTTGTTTTTTAGATTACTGTTACAGTTGTGTTTGGCTATTTTGTTTTGTTGACATTTTCTAGTAATTTTTGTGATGATAAATTATTTCTTACAACCAGTTCTATTAAAATTTGAAATTATAACAAAATTGTTACTTAATATTTTAGAAAATTGCATTTATATTGTTAGCAATAATTAAGAAAAAAATGTTTTTTCTATGACAACTTTATAACTAAATTACTTTCCTTAATTTATTATTTAAGTTTTTATAAAGTGTGATAATTTTGAAATTATTAATATAACATAGTACTGGTTAAATAAAATATATTAATTAAATATTATAAAAATCAAACAATTTATATCAATGAACTTAAAAGAGATTAAAAGAAGCAGTTTTATATCTAAGCTATTATGTTTATTAAATTGTTTTATAAATTATTAATTAATGATTAATAACAATATTGAATTTCACTAATTATGTTTTAATTAACATGATTAGAAATGATAAAATTTTAATATTTAATCAAATGAATACAAAAAATAAACATATTGACTAAAAACATAAAATTAGCCTTAGTAATTAATGATAGTTAATTAAAATTTCTGGCTTAAGCTTGAATTGATATTAACTATTAATTCCAAGAGCGACTCCAATCTTTCACCTATTAAGCTTAGTTCAAATCGAGCTAAGAATAAAGTGTCATTTATTCTGATCTTAAGATATTGTCCAATCAGTTCAAGGTTGGATCATCAATAGACTCGTGTAATTGGTATGCCATTTACTTGATCACTATAGCCGTTCAGACTAAGGGTGTAAACGAGCCGAACACGAGCGAGCCATGCTTAACTTTAGAGGGGATTATGATTATTACTTAACTAAAGAAGTTGAGGTAATTGATGAGAGAGATTTCATGAAAATTTTGTTTTCAAAAACATAAAACGATAGATAATAAGTTATACCAAAATTTTTATGTGAACATATATATATAGATATAAATATATATATATATATAGATATATATATATATATATATATATATCTTAAAAAGAATAACCGGAGGGTATTATATGAGCCCCCAACCACCCTCATGTGCCTCAACACCGACAAACTGGTTAGAGGGGATTCAAACCGATGATTTAAGAAGACTTACGACTTATAGTCAAACTGACTATCTCAACATGCGAACATGATGATACCAAAGTCGGTTCAAGCTAAGTCCAATCAAATCCAAATCATTCTATTAAAACACATTCAGAGGCTTCAAAACATTAATTTCACGGTCAAGCAAACCCTAGATTTGACGAACTGATAATCAAACTAAGAATCTTAATGAGAGGAATCCAACGAGCCTAAGCTAGCTTAATTTTGTGGTCATTAAGGATTTAAATCATTTAAAAAAATCTTGTGATCCAAGAGAATCAAATGTGCATGTTCATCAGGTGGTATGGGAGTTATTGGTCGAATGACCAAATTGTCCCTCTCCTGGAGCCTATAAATAAACTCGCTCTTTTCACTTGGGTGGGGTTGATTTATCGCTTCATAATCTAAATACAATTTTTGTACCTAACACCTATATTAAAGACCCGCTGGTAACCACCGACCTTTCTAGCCACTGAACACCATCGAAAACCTTTGTTGTCATCGTCCACTGCCACCGACTACCAACAACCTGTGACCCCTGCTTGCAAATGTAGTAGTCCTTATATGGTCTTTGTGCTAAACACATGTATTGAAGATCAAATGATAACCACTAACCTCCGTATTCATTGACCATCGCCTATCACCACCGACCACTACGAGTCAACCATCATCAACCATCGCTGGCTGTCACTGATAAGTGACAACCAGTGACCCCTATTTGCAAACATTGTAGTATGAATATGGTCTTATGCCTAACATCTTATTGAAGATATATCAAGAAACCACTTGCCTCCATAGTTGCCAACCACCATCAACCACCATTAACCACCACCTATTATTGCCAACCACCAACCTTCGATAATCACTATTTGTAACTGTTATAATCAAAATACGACATTGGTAACCAAGTGTAGCTGTTGAAATAACCAATTATGACCTTTATGGTTAACAACTACTATTTTAATTTCTAATTACGATCTGTTTCTAACTGCTACTATTACGACCATCAACTATAGCCATTATGACCAAATACTGTCGTTATGGTTTCCAACTGGGATCCCTGTGACCAACAATCGCTATCGTAGCTACTAAATTTATCATTTTATGACCGTAAACTGCCTGCCATTATTGGAGCACCAACTACAATCTTCATAGCCAACTATTGCCACTTCAACAACCAACTAAGGCTTTTGTAGCCGACTACTATAGTTACAACTTTCAACTATGACATTTGCGGCAAACTGTTGCTATTACAACCATTGACTACTGTTTTTATATTCAACTAATGTTTTTGTAACAACCAACTACGACCTTTGTAGCCAACTACTATGGGTACAACTTCCAACAAAAGCCTTAGTGGCCAACTGCAACTATTGCAACCATTAACTACAATCTTTTATGGCCAACTACTGTATTTGTAGCAACTAACTACGATATTAATGGCTAACTACTACTGTTATAGCTTCCAACTACGACTTCTGTGGCCAATTACCGCTATTACAACCCAAGACTATGTGACTTACTATCACTTTTATAGCTACATTTTTTGTAGCCTAGTTATGACTATTATAACTACATTACTATTGCACATATGTGATTATCAATTTTTTAATTTCATATTATCTAATTCAGGGGAAGATTGGACCAATGCACTTACAATTGCATAGTAGATTAATTTGATAGCGCTAGACCCCATAGTTTTTTCCTTCTAGGATTTTTTCATGTAAAAGTTATGGTATTTCTTTCTGCTACTTTTCTTTTATCTGTGTGTCTGCTAGATCATCCTACAATGCAAAGCTATTAAATTCCTGCTCTATCAATATAAATTTTCCAACTTGCAACACCTACAATCAAAGCAATGACAACACATGGCTAGCAATGTATCCTAATAAAATACAAAGAAGCACATAAAAATTTGATCAAAACAAAAATACAAGCAAATCTCAATAAAATGTCAACATTATAAGTGGAATGACTAATCTAAGATCCAAATGTTTGCCTCCATAAAAGCAAAACAATGACGTACGAAGTTCCATCTAAAACTGGTGAGCATCACTTTAAACATTAATTCATTCAATGAGGAAAAGTGATCCTTCCAAAGGAGAAATTGAAAAGAGCAAAATAATCTCAAAATTAAGGTTTTTTTATTAACCACATAGATTATTAAGGGCATGCAAAGAAGGGATGTTATGTGCTCTAATGCATGGTATATTGGATTTATATAAAATGAAGAATCCCAACATACTATGTTCAAATGATCATTAACAAGATTTTCAGAAATATCAAGACATGCTATAAAAAGACAACATACATTTTTGCAAACAATAAATTAACACACCAGTAATAACAAATAGTGTAACACAAATTTTATAGATAAAAGTAAAAAAATAATGATATATTTTGTAGTGATTATACTATTAAAAGGTTATATAAATAAATATCAAAATTTAAATATTAGATAAGTAAGCGCATGAAAACTATATGATATATAATCAGCACCCTAAAGGGCTGTTTGGCAGCTTCTTTTAAGAAGGATTTATGCAGGATTCACACTTAACCCTGAAAAACAACAAAAAAAAAAAAAAAACAATCACATAAATCTTACATATTCTTAAATCCCATTTTGCCTGTGTTTTGTCTTAAATTCGAGATTTAATAAATCCCTTAAGAGGCAAGATTTACGGGATTTAGAGAAGTTAAAGTTTGTTGGAAGAGAGATTCAGTGAATGCGATTAAAATTGTCAAATAATTTTTTTTAAATTTATTAAAATTTATCTAGTAATATTTTAAATAATTTTCAGAATTTAATCCTTTAAAAAATTCATAAATCCAGTTTTAATGGATTTAAATCCTACTTGCAACCAAACAGCCCCTAAGAGTTATGTCTAGAGTAGGAAAAAATGTTACATCCGTACTACGCACGTAGAAGTAACGTGTGTAGCTAATGAAATCACGCCACGACATCCCACGCGACAGGGAAAAAAAAACGGCGCAGTAACACGAGAAATATTCCCCCCTGTGTTATTCATATGTTATTGCGTGTTATTAATGTGTTGTTGATGTGTTATTGTGTTATTATAACATAAAAAATATTCTCATGACACAATAACACATGAATAACACACAATAACACCTGAATAACAAGTGAGAATATTCTCCCACGTGTTATTGATGTGTTATTGTGTTATTGTGTTATTATAACATCAAAAATATTCTCAGGACACAATAACACATTAATAACACACAACAACACATGAATAACACGGGGGAGGGGGCATATTCCCGTGTTACTGTACCGTTTTTTTTTCTGTCGCACGGAATGTCGTGACGTTAACACATAAATTACACACAATAACATCTGAATAACACGGGAGAATATTCTCTCACGTGTTATTCATTTGTTATTGATGTATTATTGTGTTATTATAAATCAGAAATATTTTCAAGACATAATAACATATGAATAATACATAACAACCCATGAATAGGAGGGCATATTCCTTGAGCTTTTTTTCTTTTTTTAATCTGTCGCAGGGAATGTGGTGACGTGATTTCATCCTGCGTACGATGCAATATTTTTTCCTTAGTGGGGGCGGATAAGGCTGCTTAGCTGCTTCAGTCATCTTCCTTCCACTGCTGCGTGCCAAACCTCCTCCCATTTCATCCTTCTCTCGCTTTCCATGGTGGAAATTTCGAGTGCTTCCTTCACTTCATTCCTACCCAAATTACCTCAGCTCCCCTTCCTCCCAAAATTCCATGGCTTCGCGGCCTCCGGCCCCGCCGCCCACCGCCGTATTCGCTGCTCGATCTCCGCCGAGCCGATCCCCTCGGAAACCAGCAGTACAACCATCCCGTGGGGCTGCGAGATCGAGTCTCTCGAAAGCTCTTTTGCGCTGCGGCAGTGGCTTTCGGAGTCGGGCCTTCCTCCCCAGAGATGGACATCCGGCGAGTTGACGTCGGAGGGCGTGGCCTCGTTGCCCTCAAGAGCATTAGAAAGGGGGAGAAGCTCCTCTTTGTGCCTCCTTCCCTCGTAATTACCGCAGATACGGTCTGTTTGACACTCCTTTCTATTTAGAGCAAGCCTTGCGAGGATTAAAACCTAAGAATTGTTTGACCTGATCAATGGTAAATCTTGCTAAATTCTTGTGAGAATCTATGAATTTATTAAAAATAAACCATGAATCTTAGTATTAACAGGGCTGAAATGAACTGTATCAAAATAGTAGGATTTGAATTCTCAAAATTTACATGATAAGATTTTTATTAGATCTTGTTTAAATCCTGCCCAAAATAAGATGCCAAGAGTCCCCAAGTTTCTAAATTTATGTGCTTTGTAAACAGTTTTGGGATCCTGCATCCATGATTCCACGATTTTCATGAATGAAAGATTGTACAACGGAGGCAAGATGAGAATTTATTTATTTTTCTTAGATTTTGAATGATTTGTGCAAGCTTTTTTAAAATATTTTTTTTTTCATGAAGCGTGAAATAATTATGTGCATCTTCTATTTCATTTCCAACACGAGGGCTTGTAGCTTTGGAGTTCATGACAAAACACATACCATTTCACATTGTATGAAACTTATGAGTTCTTATGTCACTATGTTGAAGAGGTCCTGTACTAGGCTAGTGAATGAATAGTGCATATGGGGTTAAGATAGCTTATCATGGAATCACTTCTTAATTTTGTGTAGAGTTAGGATTTTGGGGCTATTATTGACTCAATAATGAGTTTTAAACCCTCCAAATTTTACCTTTATGCTAGTATATCTTGATAATTAATAGGCCTTGAGACATACAAAAGACCTGAAATAGATAAAGGTGAGTTGGAATGTGTTACAATATTGGGTTAGTGTTGATTGTTCCGTTAATTTTCTGATATTATTGTGCTTTAATTTTCTTGCAAATAATTTCTTAGCCAGTCTGGTAATGTTTTCCTTTAAAAAAAAAGGCTTAATTTTTGTTCATTCATTCCAAACTACTTATGAGATGCACTGCTTTATACCAATTTATTTATGTGAATAATGTACGAGGAATGTGTTTACCATTTTACCTTGTTGCATTTCCAATGTAACTCCTCTTTATAGGAGTGGACCAATACGGAAGCAGGTCATGTGATGCGGAAAAATTCCGTTCCAGATTGGCCATTACTTGCCACCTTCTTGATCAGTGAAGCAAGTCTTGGGGATTCTTCAAAATGGAGTATTTACATTTCAGCCTTACCTAGGCAACCTTACTCACTGCTGTACTGGTATGTAAGAGAATTTAAATCTGAGTAGAATTTGAAATTAAAAGGAAGATAGAGCTACAAATGATGACAATGTCATATAGAATGCAATTTACTTTTTGTTTCTTCCAGGAATTTAATTTTAGATGTCTTCTCCACAGAATTTATATATCATTGCAGGACACGCGCCGAACTTGATATGTATTTGGTAGCTTCACATATCAGGGTGAGAGCAATAGAACGGGTTTCTGATGTAACGGGAGTGTGAGCAATTATTCGTTCATTTATTTTATTGTTTTGTTAATACTGTGTCCTTTGTGCATTTGTCTCATTACCTTCACCTTTTTCTTTTGAGGACTTCCAAGTTTTTTTTTTTGATGTGTACATGTAGATATAATGATTTAAGGGCCAGGATATTTTCGAAGCACCCAACTGTTTTTCCTGAAGAGGTATTAATGTAATTTTCTTAAACTTATGGACTCATCAATTTATTGTTCTATTATTTCATTTAAATCATACTTATAAATTTTGGCTAACTGCCAAAAGTTGATGCAATCCTAGAGTAAATTTCAGTGACTTCTATTTAAGGTGTCTGGCCAAATCATTTACTATCAATTAATCTTTGCGACAATTTCAATGTTCTAATGGTTATTCAATTTAAAAATTTTAAAAACATTAGTTCTATCTAGCCATGATCAGTACTTGTATTTTGTTTCAGTTATTTAATCTGGAGACATTCAAATGGTCCTTTGGCATTCTGTTCTCACGTTTAGTAAGTTTTTATACATTGTTCTGTCAATCCAGTAAATTTTTCTGGTCCGTATATAGGATTCCTATTTTTGGTTTTATTGGCATGATTGATTAGGGATATAAATTCATGAACTTGATTTTATTTTCATATTCTAGGTTCGTTTATCGGCTATGGACGGAAAGGTTTCCTTAGTTCCTTGGGCCGATATGCTTAACCATAGTTCTGAGGTATCTGTTACAGGCATGAAATTTTAAATCAATTTTCTGACATTGCACTGGAATGTTTGCCTATGCGAAAGGAAAAAAAGAAAATTCTGCAGTTTCTATTAGATGCATGGAATATGTGATCTTTTTTTTTTTTGGTTAGTTGTACTGGAAAGATGTATGATGAAATTATAATTAGTACCTTTTTTGTCATCTTCAATTTTTATTTGTTATCAGCGATGTCTATTTTTATGATTGCAATTTTTACTTGAAAATTATGATGAACTTGCACAATGTTTTTATTTATGAATTTTTGTAATCTGTGTTTCCTTTTTCTGAGTTTCAGGTGGAAACGTTCTTAGACTATGACAAATCATCAAGAGGAATAGTATTTTCCACTGATAGAGCTTATCAATCAGGTGAACAGGTAAACGGTTTTTTAGTTTGCTGTAATTGGGGATATATTGTCTTATCAGATGTAACTTTGGTTGAAAACAGATGTTGGGCTGGAAAGAAGTTTTTCTTATTCCACAAATTTTTTGATAAAGACAGCTTAATGATTGATTCAGGAATGGCATAAGAAAATATTTACAATGATATAAATAATTACAATTTCAAAAATAGGTTATAGATTTCCTTCTTTACCATGAATCTCTAGGATCCTATTCCTTTCCTCATATTGAATTTGTGGGATTTTTATTTCCATCTTTCACGATAATTCGTTAATTCCAACAATAAATTCATAGCATATGCACTTCTTTTAATGCTCTCCCCCTCAAGCTTGTGAATAGATATTTTTCATTCTTAAAAGTGCATTGTTGAATCACCTTTAGCACAAAAGGTTGCCGCAGCAAAGGCCACGAGTGCAGTTGGATGCAACTCTCCGCCGGGGTCCCACCGGGACCCATGGTGTTTTCCTCAGGCCATACTACTTCGAGTCAATCTTCTCCTACCCTGAATAACACGTCATCCTGTTTCGTTTACCGCCGCTCGTTCCAAACCTGCAAATGTCTCATAATTTCCTCTAGATGTCGTCGCTCGAATTCGCTCTCGATTTTGCTCAATCCTGCCTGCTTCTGTTTTTACATTCATCCAAATGTCACACCATTCTTTTCAAGTACCGCTGCTTGAGTTGCTCCTTACTCCTTCGCTCGATTCCGCAACTTCAGGTCCGCCTAAAGAAGCAACAATATTCTGATGTAGCACAAATCCTTTAAATTGTTGTCGCTCACATCCCCTCCAGTTTGGGAGCTTTCTTCGCTCGATCTCGTCCCTCGATCTCGTCACAGCATCGATGAGTTTGCGTGAAACTTCACAATCTTCATCATTTCTTCTAGGATCGTGAAACTTCCTTCCATGGATGACAAACACTCCTCCATGGCCGAGAAATACTCCTCTATTTCATATATGATATTGACCACATCTTCCTCCAATTTCTGCTCTTGGATATGTCATTACTCCTAGGACGGGTAATCACGAAGACAAAAATCTTCTGTGTCTCGATCCCGTCGTTGACAAATCAGACTATTTGGTTACGGATGCGTCCTCTGTACATCACGATCTTGTTAGGCTTCCCAGCTAGCTAGAACCGCGACCGTCTTTATATAGTTGCGATCCTACTACCCCTTGGCTTCCCAACTAGCTCTATTTGTGACTCTATCGTGATTTTGGCATCCCGGCTAACTCTAATCGTGATTGCATCGCAATCCTGGATGTTGATCCTTGATGCTCCCGCTGGCTCTAATCATGGTTGTATCGCGAATGCATCCCAGCTAGCTCTAATCATGAATTTATCCACAATCCCGACTTCAATTCGTGAGGTTTTGCCACTCACAATTTAGTCGTTGCTTCCCATCTTGCCAAAATCACGATAGTTTCACAACTTAGGGCACAAAAGCGATACCTCTATGCTGTGTTTCGATGTTTGGTCTCCCAAAAATTGAGCTCTGATACTAATTTGTTACAAACAGAGAGGAATTTCCATAAAAATTAGGGTATAAATAATATATTTTATTCCGTCGATATCAAATCAAAGCGATATAACTCTGAATGCATAAATATAAGCACCTGCAATTCGAGAGGTAGACGGTCTCCCAAATCTAACCCTAACACCTATAATTCAAGAGGTAGGTGATTTGTCCCAAATCCCAAGCCTAAGAATTAAAACAAAAAAACCCATAACATCCTTAACCCTAACCTATAATCCTTATGTATACCAAACAATAATAAATAACAAGTGATTAAATTGTCCATAGGCTCCGGTGTAACACTATAGCACATAGAGGTGAATCTTCTATTAGCAGTTCAATTCACATAGTCAGCACCTTTGTAGGTTTCAAGTTCCAACTTTTTTTGTTTGTTCTAAACAATTCCTCTTTCAAAATTAGCTTTTATGTAATGAAGAATTCAATAGACAACTAAAACCTTTAATTGAATATTTATAGGCTCATGCTTGAATTGACTTAACCCACTCACTACATAAGCTATATAAATGATCATGCTTGCAAGTTATATAAGTTGTGCTTCTAACCTTTGTTACATTTCCATTTTCACCTTAGGGTCTTCTTTTGATTCTCATAATCTATGATTTAGCACGTATGCGGGTCTAGAAGGTACATTTTCTATTTCTTTAAGTAGATTAGTGACATAATTTTGTTTGATATGAAAATCCCTTACTGTGCGTGAGCTGCCTCAATTCCTAAGAAAACCATCAATTTTCTTAGCTGTCATATTTTGAATTCTCTAATCAAACACTGCTTTAAAGACTCTTTTTGTGATATTATTTCGCAGTACAGTCTTCAACATTTACTAATAAATCATGATTTGTGTTCAAGTGTTTAATGTTCTCGGTGTGAATGTGATCACCATTGCTTGTAACATGTGCAAATTGAATAAATTGGCATTCCTTTTTTTCTTAAGCAAACTTAGCAAAGCTAAAATTCTGGCACCTCTTTCTAGTTTATAAATATAATATTTCAAACCGGTCCATTTGTTTGAATTTTCCAGTGCCTTGGAAGATCAGCTAGCATAGTGTCTAATGTTATGCTTAGTAATCCTTATCTATTATTTTAAATGAAATCATGGTATATATGACGTTCTACCTTCAAGCAAAGCAAAAAAGTGCTATGACGGTAACCTTTTCTCAATAATACATATATCAGCTCAAATTACTATTAGGAGTTTTTGGTTTCATTTTCTTCTTGCTTAATTGATTATTTTATGGTTTTGAAGGTATTTATTTCTTATGGCAAAAAGTCCAATGGAGAATTGTTGCTTTCATATGGTTTTGTTCCAAAAGAGGGCACAAACCCAAATGATTCAGTTGAATTGTCCTTATCTCTCAAGAAGAATGATAAATGTTACAATGAGAAAATCGACGTCTTCCGTAAACATGATCTCTCCATGTAAGTATTTAGCCTCGGGCTATTGTTCCATTTACTGTGTAATGATGGTGATCTCCATGCTTGCTACTAATATCAAGAAAATTTTTTCCTAGAATGGTTATATAATTTTTATGCGATTGTGTGATTAGATAATTTAGTATTTATTTTCAGTTTTACTAAAGTTAATAACTTGAAATGACCACGGTTTCTTCTGATTAATCTAAATTCCTTTGGTACATGATTAGGGTGTAAATGTGCAAGATTATTGTTTGGGTTCATCTTGTGTTGTTAGAGAACATCAAGATTGAAAGTCTAACATTTTCTACTGTATGTAAACATATACAAGCATGCGTGCATCCCCAATCATTTATGACTGAGTGATTGTTAAGTTGAGCACAATAGATTTTGGTAGGGTGTAAATTTGCCACATTGCCACTACTTTTTGTAACATCAACACTTCTCTTTTATTTTCATTTAATGGGATGAGGATAAGTGGGTGGGGAGATTGATGTTGGAGTTGGGGTGTAGGTGGTGCTTAGGTTTTTATATACTTATGCAAGGTCTAGATTAAGCTAGTTAACTTATTAATTTAAATTGTCTTTATTTTATTAGTCAATTTTTATTTAAATTAGGTAGAATTTATCTTTTTTTGATGACCTTTATTTAAGAAATTTTCTTATTGGTTAACATTCGTTTTTCGTTTCATTTAGATGATTGAAATTGTTTTTAATTTGGATTAGATGATATGTTATGTTTTAAATTTGAATTGTACGTATTTCTTAATTATTATGCATTGAAATAAAGATTTATTTATTTATTAGCTTTTTCTTGTTATTCTGTGGAGCGTGATTGGGTCGATCAATTATCAACTCAGAGCTTGCAATTCAGCGATCAAGCTTAGCGATGAGTTTGCCAGGGGTACGAGAGATTTTTTTTTTTAATGTACATAGCGCCTCAAAGCTGTGATCGGAGTGCTACTGTATCAACATCGTGGCACTACTATAGCATCACCGAGGAGCTCTCCTTGTAGCGTTGCAACACTACTCCTGGAAAAAAAATTGTGTTGAAACTCGAGCATGGCGCCTTAGCGCTACATCGAAGCGCACAATGCTACTTCCTAATCAAGAGTAGTTTCGTGCATGTTTTGGCGGCTCTTTTTTGTAGTTGAACATGAATAATAAAAAGAGGCCCGTAGAGAGTCATTTGTGACTTTTGGTTGCATGTTCTGCGGTTTTCGCTGGGGATTTTATATTCTTTTGTGCAAGGAGTGGACTGTGAGTATCATTGTGTATCCAAATTGTGAAGAGACTTGAGTATGGTGTACTTGTTTCATAGTGGATTTCTTGGTGTGGTGTGGCTCCGTGATTATTTCCCGTTCTCGTATTTTTCCACATTCAATGTGGTGTTTTCTTTTTGTGTGTGTTTTTGTTTAAAGTTTTGCTTTGGATCTCTTGCATTGGTTTCCGCAATATATATTCCCCAACATCTCTCTTTTTCTATCCCTCTTAAGTAGAATTTTTTACCTTTCTTTCTCTTTATCCACATGCTCTCTTTTGATTGCAAGAGGCATGGTTCTTGAAATTATCTATTTTATCTCTTCTATGGCTATTCAAGTGTGAGCTCTCCCCATAAGTTTATTTGATAAAAAAAGAACCCTCCCTTTCGGTCCTCTCTTTCTCCTTTCCTTATTTCTTCACCTCAATGGGCCATATTAAACAAAAATCAAGAAGAAGAAGAAGAAGAATATGATGAAAAAGGTGATTTACTTTTATAAGGCCTCCATTCAAATCTGATTGTGCAGTAAGAGGAGGTTTCTGGAATTAAACTGGAGAACTGAGAGATATGTCATAGTTCATTTTCTGAAAACATAAGACTAGACCGTCCTTCTTACATATCAACACCCAAAATTGATCCCACACTTAAATTACTTTGGCTGATGCATGAATAGGTGTATTTCACTTTAAAAAGATGTTGATGGTGGTATTTTTGTATGTGATGTTAAAGATTTCAATGCTATGCATATAAATATGAATGTTTATGTGTTAGATATGTAAACATATCGGAATCGTTTGGTATGTATGTAAATGCCCCATTGTAAAATTACCACAACTTAAAACTTCAGAGCTGTACGCTTCTGTCACTGTCACTGCACTTTTACTCTTGACATTGATGTTTAGCTTAAGAAACTATTTCTATTGATTTATTATAGTAATATTTATCCTGTTTTTGAACATTTGAACATTGTAAATATTGACATATGATGATTGCCCCTGTATTAAATGAGCAGGCCTCAGCAGTTTCCTTTGCAGATCACTGGCTGGTCCCTGGAAATGATGGCGTATGCTTACCTTGTTGTTTGCCCCTCAGATATGCGGCATCGTTTTGATGAGGTTTCATTGCCCCATCTCATTAGATATAGTACTTTCTAGCGATTTTTATAACGGTTGTGTCTTTACTTTTGGGAACTTTAAAACAATTTGCTGAAAAAGTATAGTAATTTTTGTTTTTATTCCTGTGAGCAGCGCCATTCAAATTTGCTGATAGGCAAACTCGTTTTGTTTTAGGAGACGTTTGTTTTGTGGTAGTAGTGTAAGTTAGGGAATGCACGAGTACTGGTTAAAATAATTTTTTAATAAAAAAAATTAGGCTCATTTTGTAAACAACTCTTAAAAAATTTTAGTTCATTGAATATTTTTTATTACTAATCAATCGCTTTAATTATTTCAATTCTGTTGTATTTAATTTACAAGGCACTTGAAATACATATGTATCCTAAATACTTAATCAAGCTCTACAACAATCAATAACTACTGGTTAAATAAACAAGTGCCATTTACATATACACCACTTTGCTTTCTTACATTTATACAGGTAAAAATTAAACTTCAGGTGTTAGATATATAAATATATATGAATTGAGTGGTATGTATGTAAATCTTTCAATAAAAAAGTAATGATGTCTATATAGCTAAGGAGGCTAGATTTATATCATTTAAGATCTGCAAACATTCATGCTGGTTCTATTTCCATGTCTTCTGGAAGGTCAAGTTTAAGAGCTTTTGATCAGTTTTTATCTCTAATATTTGCAGATGGCTGCTTGTGCAGCGGGCAAAATTAAGTCAAGAAATGGAATAAATTATCCTGAACTTGAAGAGCAAGCTCTACAATTTATATTGGACTGTTGTGAATCCAGCATATCGAAGTATTCTAAATTCTTAGAGGTACATGACTTTTTAACTATTTTAATGAGGAAAAAAAGTAATTGTATCAGGATAATCTGATGCATTTTTTGCATCAGAATGAGTCTGTTTTCTTGCCACATTATTATTTTATGTTTCAAATGTAATATCTTAGTACAACTAAAATATTAAATCATTATGCAAATATAGTTACCTGAACTATTAGACATTCATAATATTTTTTAATAATGCTTATACTTATGAATGTCTAATAGTATTTTAGCTATATTGTCTAATAACTTAGATATATTTGTATAATAGTCTAATTAAATTGTTTAATATTTTAATTATATTAAAGATAATTAAAACGAATAGTTCTATCTTGATTCAATATTCTGATTTAATTTTCTTTCTATTTGAATAGAAAATGATCCTGCTTATTTTCACAATTGCATTTTCTTAACAGAGTTATTAATTTAACTTTTCTGCCTTGATTTGAGTTTAATTAACTGTGAAGTAAAGTATGATATACTATCAGAAAAAATATATTATTAAAAAAATGGCTTAAATCCTTCGAAAATTAATTGAATTAAGGTGCTGTCTTAAGGTTGTTAATCTCAAGGTTTAAAGGGCTTATTTGAGATAATTTTATTTTTAAAATTTGTTGTTGAGTTTATTTTTTTATTTATAAAAAATATTCAAAATGATTTATAGGTTTTGAGTTTTTTTAAATTATCGCCTAATTTTGTTCCACCCTGTTCTATCAGCGAGCACCACCATCATCACGTAAATTAATTTATTCAATATTAATAACAATAAAAATATACTTTGTGGAAATTAAATTTATTCTATTTTAAATAAAAATAAAATAAAGTAAACATAAAAGAGTGAAATGTAAAAGATTTATGTTTTTAGAGCTTATGTGACTTTTGCTTAATCTGCACTTGAAGGGAGGCAGTCCTCTTGATCCTATAACAACAAACATCCAAGAGGCGAATCGGAGATTGCTATTGAAACAACTCGCTGTAGCTCTGTGCACGAGCGAACGCAGAATACTGTTTCGCGCACAGTATGTAAGTATTCAGACTCCTGCTGCATATTTGATCTCTTATTGTTCATTATTTAAATTACTCCATGATTTGCATGTTTTCTTCTCTCTAGTTTTTAAAATCTTTCGTTGCATTCATATTTAGATGGCTGAGTTTGTAACTTTACAATACATTGCACAAGCTTTTTTCTCGGGCATTTACATGCATACGACACAATTCTCATATATTACATATCTAACAGTTCTATATTTATAACACTCAAATCTCTTATATCACATAAAAAGTATAACTTTTATTAACTTTGAGAAGTGAAATACACATTTCCATGCATTGAAAAAATATTATAAATGTAAAAAAAAAAAGATGTTTAGATGTTAGATGTGTAAATACATAAGAATTATACGGTATTTATGTAAATGTCCCATTTTAAATATTACAATAATATTTATTTCGGAATTAACATGGAATGTAGATACTCAGGAGAAGGTTGCGGGACATTAGAAGTGGAGAATTAAGAGCTCTCACGCTTTACAATGGATTCAGGAAACTCTTCAAATAAAGATATTATGGTTAGCAGCATAATATATTCAGTGGCTTTTGCTATAATTGAAGGCTTTTTTAGCTGTGGAGAGTCTTTGGAAATGATGGTTGGAATGAGATAATACTGCGTATAATCTTCGCATGGAGATTGTAAGTGCGAAATTCTTACTCTTGAATAGTGCTTACGTTATGCTTTTTTTCTTGCAACTTTGTTCAAACATCTGCAAAAAGTATTTTTTATTGATTTATTTTTATATTCTTAGTATGGTTGTAAAAGAACAATGCATTTGATGAAGAACCTGAATTTCGGCTTGATTAATACTTGAATATATTTATTCAATTAAGTAAATAAATAAGTTTTAATATTTTTAAAATACTCGAAGTTTAAATGAACTAATTTGTATATGGTCCAGATCATTTATTAATATTCATAAATAAACTCTTTTGTTGCTCAACAAGTACTTTGTTAAATGAACTGAGCTTTTGTCTATATGTTCAAGCTTGGTTTGCTCGTCATTCTCACTATTTGAACTCAGATCATGCTATTTCAAACAATGATAATTGAATCATTATCGTGCTACTTGATTTCTAACCAAATGATTTTTTTTAATCAAATTAAAATTAATATTATAAAGCTATTTGTTTTCTATCAAATTAATTTTATCAAGTAAATTAAGTAGTGGTGGAAAATTTTTTTTCTTTGATGTGTTAATGTTTGTCCACCGTAGATCTTGGAAGGCTACTTATCTAAGTGATTAGATACAATATTTAAAAAATAATATATTTCCTCAAGGTGAGGAAATATTATCTTAGAAATAGACCTAATCATCCAAATGATCAAAATCCTTTAAAACTTATAGGCCTACGTGAATCAGATTTTTCTCTTACCTTACGAGTGTAAGGTAAAGTTTATTTTATTTTGGTATCCAATATTCCTATAAGAGCAAACTTTTATAGTTAATTACATTTATAAAACAGTGAACATTAAAAAAAACTTTCAATTAAAATATTAAACTATGTTACTCAGATTTTAAGGTTGAACTTTTAAAGTTGGTATTATCTAAGTTTAGAGTTGGAAGAATCAAAGCTCAAAAGTTGGGACTTACAATCCAATAATGGTGTCATGGAAAGATCCAGTAGGAGGGATTTGACCATCCTAGGGAGGGCAGTTTATCCAGAAAACTTAGATTTAATGATGATTGAAGAACTTTGGTTAAGGTGGAATCAAAAGAGTCTAAGATTTGTTGGATCGGGTTGCATGATTGAAAAGTTTGAGCTTGGATAGTTTGAATTGAGAGGGATCTCTAAATTAAAGGTTAGAGCATAGTAGAAAAGATTTCAAGATGGAGGTGAGAATCCTAGCTAGTTTAGACTTAGCATGGAGCCTAAATAGGTGGACTAACCTAAAATTTGGGAATAACGCCCGTGGTAAACTACCCATTGCTTTCCATCATTCTGGGTGTGTTGGTATCCTTCAACTATAAACCAAAATTATAACTTAGAAATTCCACTTAGCTCCATAGCAATGACAAATAGAGGATTTTCTTAGTTAAAGGTAATAAGTGGTGCATTCGTTAGTAACAATGAGTTACTTCATCCTACTGCACCTACACAACTTTAAGGGGTAAGACTATTTGTTTTATAGGTTTTAGTCCTTAATTCTAAATGCGGGTACCTAGTAAACTAACATAGGCTTCTAGGAGGGACTATTCTAGCTTATGCATGGCCCTCAATTTTATTTCTACGTACTTAGGGTTTGTGTCGGTTCTCTCTTGTTTTGGTTCTCATTTCTTAAGTAGGTCAATTTTAGATTTTGTTTAAGGTTTGGTATTTAGTTCGTTGTTTTTTTTTTATTCCTAGGTTGTCAGCCATGATGAAATAAAAATTCTTCCAGGCTTAACATTTAAAATATTCACAATAAGAACTTGCATGAGAGGTTCCCCTCCACCTTGTTTATCTTTTTTTTTTTTAACATTCATGAAGAACTATAAATTGTATACAAAGAACATGAAACATAAAACATGACTTGGATGAAACATGAAATATTAAGTGTATTATACATACACTACATACAAAATTAAGTTAGGTTAGACTTAGGGCTTGGGCTAAGTTTGGGCTAGATTGAGCTAGGGGTCAGCTAAGGCCATCTAGTGTCAGCTAAAATTTGCTACGATTAGCTAAGGTTAGCTAAGGTAGGCTTGGGTGCGCTAAGGTCAACGAAGGTCAGCTAAGGTGAGCTAAGGTCAGCTAAGGTCAGCTAGGATTAGATAAGTTCAGCTAATGTTAGCTATGACCATCTAAGGCTTATTGGGTTGGGTTCAGGTTGGGGTAGATTGGGCTAGGTTGGGTTGAGATAGGTTGGGATTGGTTGGTTCGGGCCGGGTTGGACTAGTTTGAGCTGGGTTAGGCTAGGTTAGGCTATGTTGGGCTAGGTTGGGTAAGGTTGGATTAGTTTGGGCTAGGTTGAGCTAGGCCGGGTCGGGCTAGGTTGGGTGGGGTTAGGTAAGGTTGGGGTAGGTTGGGTCAGGCTAGGTAGGGTAGGGCTATGTCGGGTTAAGTTGGGCTAGGTTGGGCTAGTTTGGGTTAGGTTAGCTTAAGTTGGGTTAGGTTAGGTTGGGATTATGTTAGGTTGGGATTATGTTAGGTTCGGGTCAGGTTGGGTTTGAGCGAACCTAGGGCGCCCAAACCGAGCCTAACCTAATTACTTCACTTAATTAATGAACTTAAATAAAATAAAATAAAAGGAAGAAGGAGGCTTACCGGACCAACAAGCACACCACCGAATGCACCGCAGAGGAAGAAGAGGAGGCCGATTGGAGCACCACTGGAGAGGAGGAGGGAGGAGGAGAGGAGGAGGCGCACCGAATGATGGGGCCAAGGGGCTATTTATAGGCAGCTGGGAGTGGTGGAGATGGCGACGGTAGCAATTACCTCTGAAGGATCGAGCCCGACGATTATCGATCGAGGCAGAGATTGACAGTCATGCTTCCTCCGGTAGTTGGAGTCCCACAGATAGCCAATGAGCTCCCGACAGTGAAAAAAGGTGTCAAATGGCTGAAATTGACCCGGAAAGGTTTCGGTTGCAAGTGGCCCAGGTGCTCGTGAGGGTGTGTTACATTTGCAGCCTCCAATGAGATCTTTATCTTAGTAGCCGATAGTGAGTGAGACAAATGTAATGAGCACGCACGCACCCTAGGGCATCTTAACACTCATGCTGGTGTGTTAAATAACCTCAAGGGCCTCCATGAGATTGTTGGTGATACTGAATTATTTCCCCTAAGTTAGATTGTGATGATAGGCATGTCAATGCCTTTGCTCAACTCGGCTTGGTCCTTGGTATGGATGGTCTACACGCCCAGTCAGCCGCCAACCCTGATTTGGGTGGTTGCATCTAATCAAGTTGATCTTTTGGTCTACTGCCAGTGGACCCTCCTTATTTCTATTTTTCTTTCTCCTGGATCATTGGATCTCCTCGAGATTCATGCTGACACATTCCCGATGTACAATATATAATGGATATGTCCAGTCCTAAATATATATGAAAAGAAATGATCATAAATACTTTATAAAAGGATTCTATGCGACATTGAGCAAGTCAAAACTCATTACATATAGACTTATGCATGACAGTGTGTATTTTATTTTTTAAAAAGTAGTGATGGTAGTTTTTTTGATGTGATGTTAAAAAATGGAGTGGTATGTATGTAAATATGAATGTTTAGGTGTTAGATATATAAATACATAAAAATTATATGGTATACATGTAAATGCCCCTTCATTATAAAACCATCGTTATTCTTGAGTAAGACTAACGCTCCGTTTGGGGCAGCTTATTCTCTATGACGGCGTTTTCAAAACGTCGCTGAAAACGCCGCCTCACCGTTTGGAAACTGTGTTCGAGCATCTTATTCGAAAAAGCTGTTGATTTTTTATACTAAATGTGTCCCGCAGTCCGTGCTTCCTGATAAACTGTTTATCTGGATAAACACAAGCTGCCCCAAATACAGCCTAAGACCACATGTTAAACGGAAAATTAAGTCGACGGTTTAGCTTTGGAATTTTATGCAGCTTCATTCATTTCCTCAAAGTCTCTTGAATGTGTAAAAATAAGATTTATTTAAAAATTTTCAGAGGTTGCTTTAATAATGATATTGAACACTACATTGGGAAGATCCTACGTAATAATTTATTATTTTTTAATGCTATAATACCTTATCAATTATAAAATTGACAGACCCTGGCTCTCATAGAATTAATCTTATAAAAATTGCACTCAAAATATGGAGGATATTTGCCTCCCAAAAAGTTTCAAGAAATTTACATTTATATTTTTAGGTATTAATTCAAGTTCTTTTCAACTGAAATCAAGATGCACTTCACATTGTTGTATTTTAGGGTCAGTTTGGGAAACTTTCTATTTGATTTAAAATTCCGACCGACATCACAACTTGATTTGAGAATTATTTCTTAGAAATTTTTATAGTGGGAAATTGTTTCTTTCAACCTGAATTGTTCATGTATGTTGGTTGTGGTGGTAAGAAAAACTGCTGTCCAATTTTTAGAAAAAATATATATTTATAATTCTCACCATAACTTTCTAAGATATTGATTTATTGACCACAGCATTATAACTACCTTTATAAAACTTAAGGCACCCCCAACAGAAGGGTCTGTTTGGGGTGAGTAAATATTTGTGGTACATGTTGTGTGCATGTTATAAATATTTAATAGTTTTTTTAAAATTTTTTTTAAAGTTGTTATAGGTTTGCGTCGGCGTTGCGACCTACATTGTTGATGTTAATACCTTCGATAAATTCTGATGCTAATCAACCTCCTCGGCAGTAACGGTGAACGTAAATTCCGTATTTAAAGTTTACATTGGCACTAGTCGAGTCAAAACTAACAAACTTCGACAATGTCTGACGCTAATGTCAACACAAGTTATTAGCGTCGGACACGTTCGACGCTAATTACATTTGCGACGCCCATTTATTACGATGATCATACATCCGATGCAAATCCGCCTCTAAAACTGTTTAGTGTCTCATTATTATCATATTATCATCAAAATTGACTTACGCTAATTTTGCTGAATCAAGTAAATATGCCAATTTACAACCTCAACATCTTAACCTAGTAATACACATAAATCCTTTTTATCAACACATACCACAAAGATCATAAATTCACAGCCTTATGTAAAAGAGTTGATACATCATAGATACAATAACCATTGGTTCCATCTGTATCCTGAAGGAAATAATTGTAGGTTCCCCGTCCAAAGAGCCAAAAACTTCTCCTAAAA